TCATCCAATCAATCATCTATAAAAAACGAAATAAAAAGGCAAGCAGTAATCCTCAGCGCACTAAAGCACAAAGGTGTGCAAAACAACAGTTATCATGGCGATTCTTCAGTTTTTCCATAAGACTCAACAAAATTGATAAATAAATTTGTAAAAAGTATTTTCAGCTGAGTTTACCATAACAAAAAATGTCCTTTAACTTCTGAAAATGTCTTCGTTACTCAAGCGGTTCAGGCCACAGACAGATTAATAAATATTTKTWCWACMTAATTGTAAACAAACTAGTTGATTTGACCATTTCCTTCATTTGTGAATGGATAATGTTATGTTTTTYAAGATCATATGACACGAGGGGATTKGAAAGTTGAAAGTGATTGGAGACCCAGGACGAACTGTTATAATTAAATTAAATACGTGATAGAAGTCMGTTTTGACTATAACTTCTTTTTAATCATAATTAACTTCGGTAATTAATTAACTAATGTACGTTTTACTTTGTCGTCATCTTTTAACATAAGAATCCTCAGGACTTCTATTATGGCTAAGACTTGTTGGAGTCCTGACTTGTTATTTCAAGCATGCGTTTCTTTAAATTATTCACCGCCAACTAAAAATGTTTTTCATTGCGTAATTATAAACATCTGAAAGAAGGCACTCGCCCTGAACATGCAAAACTTACTACAGCAGCGAAATTTAAATTAATATTTCTGTTTAACAGAAAAAATAAAACTAATTGGCCAATTAATCCAAATAATTACTTGTCAGCGCCATGTAATGGTGTTCTGCTTATTTGATTCACACTCGAAAAAATCCGAGAGGCCTGTAAATGCCAGAAAAGAACAAAAAGGAAAAACCACGCTCCCAGCACCTGCTCTCTTCCACTGCCATTTTAGAAAATAAATACATTTCCTTTATTAACCAAACAAATAAAATTGAATCGTTTTGCCAGCAAAATTCGCTTTTTTGTATAAAAAGCTGAAGTCAGATGATTAGAATTTTTAAATTCAGGACGCTTGCTTTTTCCCTACTGCAAAACGGTAACCCCCATCTGAACAACAAGCTCGCCAATTTCAAATTGCTGTTGTAATTTACTGTTTCTTTAATTACTCTTTGTTAGGGAAAAATATATTATAAGCACGGATAAAATACTATACCGGGGAAGTCGCTAATACATGAAAGCGGAGTGCTGTTATTGAATCTGTTTAAAATTTTATTGTCTAAGTCCAAATAAAGCAAATTAATGTTTGAAAAGCTGGCATTAAAAGTAAAATTTGACTTTATAAATTTTTAGAACACCTCTAACGCTTCTTTCTTTGGTTGAACATATTATTTAATTTAATGATTTGTTTCGTCGGAATAAAGTAATTTTACATGCAATGTTCTAGATATGTATTTTAAAATATCGATAAGAGTTGAAAAATTAATTATAAACATATAGTGTTTCAATTTTAAATAATTAAATAATGTAAAAATTGGTTCAAAAATGGACTTCTAAAAACTAGCAAATTAATTGTGATTGGAAATTGGATATGAGCAAAATGTAAGCAAATGACGAATATTTTAAATGATTCAAGGCAGAAGAACTTAAATATACATATAAATATATGTAGAAAAACTAGCGAATATTGGTTTCCATTACTCGAAAAACAAACAAAGCCGTTATACTGATATTGAAGTAAGCTGTATTCAATTAACTGAGCTGTTAAGAGTTCTCATAAAATAATCAAACTGGAGTTTTAAACACTAATAAATTATATGAAACTAGAGAATTTCGTAAAACAACCCAGTCAACCCGTACATGTCAATATTGATTTAGATTTTTGGTTGATTTAGACCAGCATTGTGATCACCCCAGTTGGATAAAAATTGAGTTAGTTCCTGGTGGTTTTAAAAAAAAGTGTCATGTGATTAATTAATTACTTATATATTCTAATTTAGTTTTAAACCATATATCATCCAAGAGTAGGAAAGTCAAAGAAAACGAAACGAATAATTGTTGGGTCGAAAAATGTGCTGAAACCATGCTGACTTATTGGAAAAAATGTATTGGGATGAAAATCATTTATATGTAGAAGCTAATTTTTAATTGAATTCAATTAAACAATAATGGACAAAAATACAAATAAATGTGCTATGTGCTATTAATAACAAATAAATATGCATAGTTTTTGCAAATCATCTCATGGCAGGCAATATATAASGAAGACATGTACGTAAAGAATTATAAGACAAATAGCATGYTCAAATATAACATACGAAACTGCAATCRAGGATTTAAATTTGCCTTCCATGGATAGCGTTTCTATACAAACGTTGTCGTTGCGAGAAGAAAATTCGTTTAATTCAAAAATGAACAACTTGTGTACAGACACTGGAATWTGAAATCGAGTTCTACGAAGATTAAATCAAGTGCAAAMCTTGAAAATTCTCGTACGTACTTGTGATAATGATCCATCGAGTTTGCAAGTTAAGTTGTTGCAACCGAGTTTGTATTAGTTAATTTTTWGAGTTTGTAGTTRACGATTTTAATTGGTGTTGTAATAAATGTGCCAGTATTTTCACTTATTTATATGTTGTAAATATTTTCTAGAWTGTAGTCTATATTTGACAAAATTYAACAATTTCGGGATYATAAAATATTTAGCAAAAAATTTAGGAAATAAAACACATTTTTACASCAAGTTTGCAACTACAGTCTTACGTCTTGGATACAGATCTAATTTAGATATACTTTAGGGATTGAATAGACAGAACTATACTATAACTGAAATCCTCCTTTATTTTTTTAAAGAAGAAATAAAATTAATTTTTCAAGTTTTGTCAAAAATTCAGCTTGGAATTCCATGTGACTTGATATGACATAGTTTCTATAAATAAAATAAATAGTTTCTTTATAACCGATATCTAATATCTCCAATAAATGCAGTTATTAATTTTGTAGAACTCCTTCCTGTGACTTCATTTCAGTTTGATATTTTAGTGTTAGCGATGCATACATAATAAATTACGGTCCGTGTAGGTGAAGCATATCCGTAAAGTAAATAATTCCGCCAATGTGCAAGGTTGTGAGTTTTCACCTTCAATGTGATTAATACTTACGTATAACCATCATGTTCTGTTCGTCTACTCCAATAACCATATGTGGTAAATCGGTAGTAACTTCACAGCTAAAATTGCCGGACAGATTGAACTCGATATTCCGAAGAACTACCTGAGTGGAATTCGAGCTGTTCACCTGGAATAGAAATTAATTTTTATTGTTTATTCAATGTATAATTAGAATATTAAATTACTACTACTTGAATTGGTACAGCTTTTCTACAAATCTTCCGCTGCTTATATTTAATTCAGGATTATATTTTAATAAGGCATCTTCATTTTGCTTACGGTATGACAATAATTTGTTACTGTGTTTAGGTAAGCAATGCTCTACTGCTCTATCCTTGTAAAAATGTGTTGATACAGTGTAAGCTATTGAAAAATAATCACACATACATTTAAATACACTGAAAATGTGATAAATTTGTAAAAAGATATATAAAGTTTTGGGTCCTAAATTGTTCGGTTGGCTAGCCTGATAAAGAAAAATTATTGGCACACCATCAAAAGAAAGAGAGATGATTATCTCAATAAAGTATTTTTGAAAATGTTAGCCATATCGTTTCTGTAAAAGAATGTAAAGCTTTACAAATGAGTCGGTTCATAATGAGAAAAATACAAACTGCTAAGATGCGTTCCATCAGATTTCTTAGTAGTTAGATGTGAACACCCAGGATACTAAGCAATTAGTCGTCGAGGTCTCTCTAATGAAAAATAAGGTAAGGCACTGGAATGGGACGTGTTATATCCCACTTTTTCTTTCCCTTCGTTATTTTACTGTGATTTATGTTTGTTCCTGTTTAAAATATGAGAGAATTTTTCATCTGAAACCGAATGCCAATGTCTCGGGTTTTTTTTCGGGCCCTGCTTGTGGTAGTGCAAAGTGCTACAAAAGTAATAAATATCTGGATGCATTGTAGATAATTTCGTGGAGGAGATAGAAAAGGATGATCGGTCTTAACAGATAGTTTGGCTTAAGGTACCTACTTATTGTCCATGCAGAGAAGCGTTATGTTGATATCCGCGATTATTCCTCCGCTATTGTCGTGGTTTTCGGCAAAAAAATAATTTGCATCATATTCAACCGTTGCTGAATTGGTCATTACCAAGCTTTTAATACTGGTAATGCTGTTAATATAGTAATTTTTAAACTCATTTAAAAGGTAATTAGCTTTTTGTACCACTATGTATATGAGTCGAATGTGGCTTATGATCAGTTTTATAACGGGGATTCAGTGCCCGAGTGCAGTTCGTCACTTCATTTTTAACTAGACTTTGGATCAAGCAAATATGCAATAATATGTATTGAATATTTCTTTATTATATTGGAACTAAATAATTGAGTCTCTTTTCTCTATAAAATCAAACATAGAATTGCAACAAGTGGTTTCAGCTATGAAATAGACTGGACTTTTAGTTTTACTTCAACTATTAATAGTTTTTCTGTTTGGGCAATCCATTTAAAAAACAGACAAAATTATTTTAAGGGAACAGATATATAAAAGCTAGAAAAAAGCGTGAAATAAGCACAATAGACCTGAAAGAAGAATGTGATGAAAAAGTCTATATTAAACGGCGAGAACACGATATTGGCGAAAGATAAGCAGAAATTAGAGAAGAGAGTTACTGATGAGAGTAAACAGATTGCTTCATTGAATATGATGTATTTGGATAGTGACATTAATGCAGAAGAAGAATTCGAAGCGCATTCTCCTGAACTTTGCATTAGTGAAACAGAGGTATGATTGTTCGGTTATCACGACGTATTCAAGAAAAGTGGAGGCCATAGTTAAAACAAATGGATATTCTGAAAAATGGCATAGCGAAAGAAATTATCAAAATATAGGAAAGGAATTAATAACGCTACCCAATAAGGAATTGGCGGACTTAGCAAAAGCAACCTGAAAAAGCAGTTAAAGAAACTGAAACAATTACCTGGGAAAGGAAACTTTCCTTGCAGCTACTGAAGCCAGAACTAACGCAAGATAATTTACCCATCAAACCTACAGACTTATTTGATATTTGCAAGAGGAAAGCCGGTAACATTTCCTTCAATGATCATCAAATTTTTGGCAGTAGATGCCTGTAAGGAGTTTTGGAACCGGAGCAGGAACGATCACAGTAAATAAGGTTCAAAAAGAGTTGGATACTGGTTCAGAAGGTGAGTTTGATACTGCTGAGGAGCTGAAAGATTGTATGCATATTAACAAGATGGAAGCAAAGTAGGTTGAAATTCTTGAGATGTAAGTTTAGAGTTGGTAACTTTGCAGTACAGCTTGTGCCAGTTTAAAGGGAAAATACTTTTAGCCCTAGCCAATTCAGCCAGTTGCTCAGAAATGCCCATATTGGGAAATTATTGGTTTTAGCACTACATTAACCTACGGTGAGACTGGATGCACCCGTTGTCTTTATCAAGACACACCTCTCTTTATACAAGTCTGCATACAGCGTAGATATTCAATAAATATATAGGGTGACCCTTAAGCACATGATGAAAAGGGTACTGCGCCAGTCTGTGGCTCAAAAGAATCTGATCTAACTTTTATTTAAAAAAAAGTCTATGTACCACCCTGTATAATAAATAGCACAGTAATATAGTAGTTTACAATTCGAAACATTTTATTTCATGAAAAGAACCAACTTTTCCAACAACTAGCACGTTAGCAAGGATAATTAATTCCAAAAGCTGAAAGTCAGATCTGAAATTTCCTCTTGTTATTCGTCCAAGAAGTGTTAACTGAGTGATCATACAAACAAGTGGTCAATTATGGTGGCATTTCTTAGGGTCATAGACCACACATTGTACTGGTTTACTACAGACAGAGAAAAGTTAATGTTTTGACATTAACACACATTTAGTAAACTTGGCGTTCCAAGGCAAGAAACATAACTTCCACTTGCAACAATAAAACCACGCCAACTGATTTCACTGCTTAAAATATACAAGAGGACATACATGTTTAAAGGCTTTGGCAGTGGGGAGAAAGATTGCACTCTGAGAAGCAGACTTACCACAAATAGAAACTATGAATATTTTACTCCTACTACTTTTATTCCAAATTTATTCAAGTCAAGCTTGCCAGACGCAAATTTTATATCATTTCTAATCCTAAAACATGTCAACCATTATATTTAATGATAAAAAAAATGTATATTCACCATACAGTGAGTCGCAGAAGTAATGTCCAGTTTCATTCAAAATTAAGTGGTGTGTTTTTCTGCTTCTTGAACTTGATTTTTTCAAATGGACGTACCTTTTTCCACATTTTGAATTCCCCATTGATTTCTAAGTGAAATTYCACCATGTCCTATAWCTAAACTCAACAGAACTCGAKAATTTACGAAGTAAAAAAATTATTTACCAAAATAGTRAGATTTTTAAAAACTGAATCGCATCCARGAAATAAGTAATAAATAGACACATKTTTAATGTAGTGAYTTTCAATATGGTGAAGTTAACGRAGCGAGATAAAATCGAAATTCTCTGATAGAACACATACTACAAATCCACGGTGATCGTCCTCCCGTATGTCATAAGGTGGTRAGTAAARCAAAAACCTAAATTCAGAGCATTTGGTCATGTASGAGATTTGCCTGARWCTGCATGTTCTGCTGGAGACCAGAATGAACTTGACATTTTACTTTTCTGKATGAAAAGCCATAATCCCCTCTTTGACAGATGTACACATACGRAAATCTACTACCGATATAACCGGTACAAAGTTATTCTAATGCCAGAGTTATTYAAAGATSATTTCGATTCGCAAAATGAGTTTTGCAAAAGCATGCAAAATATATGATAATTTACTTCAAAATGCTAAATTTTTCAGAAGTAAGTGCGGGATAATAGGGCCATTTTTCATCAAACAGGATCTAACTAGACAAGTAAGTATATCTAGAATTTCCCAACTTGAACTAATTCCAGCATTGGCGCATTCATTGCCAAGTCCATTAATACCAGACTCTCCGAAAGAAGAAGTTGATTGTTGCCTGAAGTTGATTTGCCGGGCAAGATAATCCTCCTCCACACTGTGCTGCCATTGTGTACATTTTTGGYTGAAACCTTTCCCARTCAGTGGATACGAACAGAAGACCTATTGAATGGCCTCCTAGATCGCCAGACCTAACTCCTATATATTTCTGTATTGTTGACAAAGTATTTGTTGACATATCCAACAATCTRCAGGCGTTAAAAGAGAAGATCCGAAGAAACGTGCGTGCCATAACYATGAAAATAGTTGAAACCGTKCAAGAAAAGTTTATTGATCGCCTTGGACATGGTCAGGCCATAAATGGCACATATTTTGAACATTTAATTTGACTGCTGTTCTGTTTCTTAAAATAAATCGAATGCAGAAGGATTTTTCGTCTATGTACGCACAACTTTCTATGCGGACTTAAAGGCTGCGGCTAACATTCATTTGGATTCGAGCAATGTTTGCTCTTGCTGCACTTTAAAAACCTAATTGAATTTTGACAATGTTAATTGTAAAATTATAAAATGTTATTGTTCATTATCGATATTCGTGGATGACCCCAGAAACGCTGGTGAAATTTACACAAATAATGGGTTATGTCTGTAAATGAATTGTTTTGCAATAATCACACATTAAAACTTAAAAAACGAATTCACATCATTGTGTTTCGAAAAAATCTAGAAAATACAGTTGATGGCTAGGGAATATAAATTTCAACTGTCTGAATCATAGAACTTAGACTTAATTGTACCCCAGTTTTTCACATAAGCTTCAGAATATATAGTTATTAATTGGCAATGTTCGTTGAGATGTTGGTTCATCATCATTGCAAACTTCGGTTAATAAAGTGGAATAGTTTGTAAACTAAGCCAGTTATAGAACAATAGTAATTAGTTCCGTGTAATCCTCGACGGTCTGATACTGATCGAAGTATATAGGTGCAAGGCGCTTACCTAAACCATATCCTTTACGTATTTTAGATTAAAGGAGAAACTGTATGGTTTCGAATGTCCATCTAATAGACTAGCGTAACTCAATAATTATAACTTTGCTACATAAAAGCTTTTAGATTGAGTTTTTTGGTACAGAAATTTCAGAAATTGACTTGCAACCATTACCTATTAATCAGCCGAAATGTTTTGTGTAATTTAATACAGAAATTTCTAAATCTGAAGCTTAGAACAGGAAGAACTTCGGAAACAACAGATCACTTTACTTTCCTTTACGCTGAGATCGTTTCACATGACGCGGTAATAAAATCCGATAATGCGAGTTGAAATATTCAACTACGTTAGAACTGAAACAAGTTCAGTAAACACCTAGAACAAGTTAGTCACACAATATGCTTACCAGCATAAGAACTTACGTCAACAGTAATTCCGTCAAATGGGAAAACTTTTGTCTTTGGATGCTCGCTTGGGGTATATCTGTAAAACTCGCGTAACCCTCTGTACCATTTCACTGAATATAAAATGTCGTCTTCTAAGTCGTATGAACACTGTAACGTGGAATCGTTGAGATACTGCACTATCGCCGGCACTATTGACAGTTTAACATCTTTCAAGCTGATGACATCTGCAAAGGAAGAGATTTAGATCATTTTGTGGCCCTTTCCACAAGTTGGAGAAACAAAGGTTCTGTAATATTTCAATTTGACTATATTTACTCATATTTTTGCTATGAAAAGTTTTCATTTCCTGACTTATTCCAGACAAATATCTTAAACAGCATCAGTGATTGTATTTGATTAAAAGTTGTATGAAATTAATTATCATATATTAACCCTCAAAATACGTAAAAAAGTGCTCTTCATATAAGAATTAAATCTGTAAATTTTGTTGTTTTATGTTAATTTCTAAGGATATSAAATAAACAGATCTTGTTCATGTTCGGTTGAAGAGGCATAACATTTTGCKTAAATTCTGAAACTGTCCAATCGATACMTTTGCCTAAAAATTGCTCTCTATTGGTATTGAATGGAATTTATGCTWRAAATAGCTTCAACCAAACTAACCCAAATATTCAAATTATAGTACTCGGAYCTACTCTTCGCGTTCTAGATAACAACAACAACAATATCTTTATTCGGTGAAAAGACTGTCGACCATTGCGGTCTTCCCGCCCAATGATAGTAAATGATGATAAACAAAAAAAMMCTTAATGATTAGCAAAAAAATAAATAAAAATKATCACTATACAATAATTTAACAATCTTAGAAGTAAAAAGTAAGTATTTGGTCATGTCGTGGTCTGTCCATTATTGTAGTGTTCTAGTAGAGTTTCCGTGGGGTGTAAATAACGTGAGTTTCGTGTGGGCCTTGATAAGCACAGTTGGTTCAGTACTGTCCAGGTGTTTCCTCTGTTATTCCATTTTTGTTGAAGTACTATACGTCTGTACATTACTTTTGGTAGYCGTGTCAGGTCGTACAGCAGGTGCGTTGGTGAGTTATGCAGTGGGTTSTTTGATTGTYTTATCCTCGTTATGGTTCGTAGTGCCATTTGGTCTRTAATTTGCAGATGTAGTCTTGTTCTGTTCGTTGCATTTGCTAGTAGGATSTTACCGTAGTCAAGTACCGTTCTAGATATTATTACAGCTTACGCACCAAAAATATGGATGAATGGTAATTTTGAGCGCTTCAAACTTAGCGAAGTACAGATTCAACCGAAACTTGCTTGTAATATATTTCTTCGCTTTGAAATTTATAAGCATATTTTGGGCCAATGAAATAAGACTTACTACTATTGGAAACATCTCCGACAAAAAATACCAAGTACAAGTTATTCATGATATTCTGGTCTGCATTAAAGTCCGTTAATGTAACATTTTTAGTCGACTAACACAACCGCAAAGACACATACTTGTTTTTGGGTTTTCCTTACGAACTCCGTATTAGAAGCATTACTAAAGAGTAAGATATGTCGTAATCATCTTGTCTGACACTCAACAATTTGTATTAGTAATCACAATATATTTGGTCCATTTTAAATAAATCATATTTATTTCAACATACGGTCTACACTCTTGTACTTCTCATTCTTCTCTCCTTCTCGTTGAACACCATGCAGCATGCTGCATTTATATTTCCGGTATTTTCAACTTTAATTCTTGATAATGTCTGTTGTGTTCCACGGAATCAAGCAATATCTATTTCATGTTTGACATAAGCACGTAATCTAGAGCGAACTCTACTAAAAAAGCGATCCACTTTAAGAACGAAACCATTATTTTAAATCAATTATTCGGCTGTCTAGACAGGAATCAGATAACGACAATTCTCAAAGCTTCGAAATAGTAAAAACCACGTAGCAGAGTATTTGCTCGAGCAGGACTGGAAGATGTCAGCGCTTATCAAGATCCATCTTTTAATTTGTTGATTTCTGCAATTGTGGTTTCAAGTTGTTTCAAGCGATCAGCTTATATCGTCTTGAGGGTTATTGCGAAATT